CCGGGCTGAGTGCCTGGACCCCTTCCCCTTTGGCTCCTTCCGATGTTACAGTAGCCTCACGTTTAATGTTTCTACGGCATCCTGCCCGGCAGGCTACAATTGTACCTGCACACACCCCAATGAAGTTCCTGATGAGAAAGGCACTCGCATACTCAACACAGGCTGGTGGTTGTGTGGCCATTACATATTTGCTCATTTACCCACCAACTGGTCTGGTGTATGTGCCCCAGTAGCGGCCGACGACCATACCATAGTTATGTACGCAGAACCTAGGACACACCACTTGCGCCTTAAGCGAGCTGACCCAGGAGCTGGCACTTTTACTCCACATGACGCTGTCTGGGGCAGCGACGTACCAGATGAATTCAAACATTGGTCCAGTTCTGAAAAGGTTGCGCTTGCACTTTTTCCTTGGGTTGGCGTAGCAAAAAACATACTGCGCTTAGAAACTGTTGACTACCGCCTTAAATCATTCACCAACATTACAAGAACCGCACTGGGAGGCATACGAGAGGAACTCACCGCGTTACGCCTAACAGTTGTGCAGAACAGAATGGCTTTAGACTTACTGACTGCTCCGCAAGGTGGAGTTTGCGCTATGGTAGGTGACTACTGTTGTACATACATTCCTGAAAACGACGCTGATGGTCATGTTATCGATACTGCACTTAAGAACTTGACCGCCTTGCAGAAAGCCATGAGTAACGATCGCACCCCATCCCCTGACTGGTTTACTCACCTATGGTCAACATGGAAAGGTTTGATAGTTCAGATTGCTTTAGTAATATTATGCTTCCTCGTGCTCTTTTCTTGTATAATTCCACTCATCAGATCCTTAGTCCATAGAGCTCTGACCACCACCCTGGTGCGCTATTCCGGCCTCCCAAAAGAAGACGTTGCGGCACAGCAAGACATCGTTGAGCCATCCGAACCATTCTCACTGTACCCGCTCTCATCCGAATATAGCATCAGCAACAATAGCTCCATGAACAGCGACTCTGATGAGCCCTGGTAATCGCCTCGTCTCCCCTTGTTTCTCTCCATTTTGCTTGCTGACAACAAGAGAGCTGTACTCTCGCAAAAACAAATTGCAACTCTTCCTTGAGTTTTTCACTTGTATACATCCTAATGACATCTGCCCCCTCGAGTTTTGAGGGCAGTTCGACTCCTTTGATGTTGTACAACCTTGTATATTGTTGTTCCTAAAGGAACAAAAGGGGGGAATGTAATGGTAAAATTAATGATAAAGTTTATAATGTTGTATGCTTATGATAAATGTATGTGACTGCAACAGGAAACTGCTTGTGAAACTGCACGTATCTGCTGACAGCTGCAAAATCAAATGTGCTCTGCTGGTGCTGTTCAGAGAAGAGACTGCACGTCCTGCCTTCTGCGAATCTATCATGGGCGCTCTACTTCAATGTCTAAATTTACATATATTCTGTTTCTATCGAAACCTGCAAATTTCTAAGTATGCATGCCAGATGTCTAATTCGCAGAAAACAGGACCTGTAGAAAACAGGACGCATCAAGGGTATAAAAACTTATGCAAAATGTGTCCAGAGAAGATCTTCGAGGGACCTGCTCAACGACGACGTCTCAGCTTTCTTTTCTCTGCAGAATAAAACTTTGTAACCTTTCCACGACTCAAGAAGTTTATTACAGATAAGATTTCCTTCTAAAGTGATATGTAGTTAAAGAACCAGTGGAACAGAAGAATTTTTCCACGACAATTTCTCTTGGATGAGAGGTGAAATGTCTTCCTTTAGAAAATGCACGTCCCGTTGCCTAACAGAATTTTTTAAACTTGACCATGACCTGGATGACTGAGAAACTTCAAGGACATTTAATTCGATTGTTTTTTTACTCTCATATATTTTCTGTGTATGGTGTGACTGAAATATGGCACAGGGTTACACGTATTTTGTTGAGGGTGAAGGTGACGAGTCCAGAATTCCAGGGCCTAGTGTCACAGCATTACACACCCCACAGATTACCTCTACACGTTATGTAGATCGTGCCATGCCAAGCCAATTTGAGCAAAATCCAGACTTAGGCTCACTCAGTTAGCTGAAAAGCTAGGTGAATCCATCACAACTAAGCTACAATCTGACAGGAGCACACAAAACACCAGTACTCCTGTACAGCCTTCAGAGATGACATTGCCTAACATCAAGGTTGTCATGCAGTCAGATGTAAAGGAGCCTCCCATATTCAGGGGTGATAGCTCAGACAAATTCACAGTCCATGTTCCTATTCCAGTTCAAGTTCTGGCAAGGCTTATGGGCAGAGCAGGGGATGTGGTGAGGATAAAGTTACGTAATAATACATCTATTAATCACATTGTAAATCCCCATGTGATCTTTGATATTCTGAAACAACACTTTAGTGAACTAACATACTCAAGCATGCCTTTAGCAGATTTTTACAATACACTGCCCATGCCAGGTGAAGATGCTATGGGATATTGGATAAGGCTAAATAAAACAGTTGATGTAGCAGATGAACCCAAAATGTTCAAAGAGCCATATTGGACCAAAAAAACAAAAAAGAAATCTGTCTGGAGCCGCAAAAAATTAAAAGCCTTATTTAAACCTTATATGAAGGCAACACAGCTGTAATTGTACATCTTTCACAGCTGTGTTATACACTGTGTATAAAACAACTACAGTATAGTGTGTTGCATTTATGAAATCAATGAACTGCTGCAGAGAACAGAATTTTATTATTGCATGTAACAAAAACATTTTGAACTTGAAAAAAAAAACACATGGTTGATCCTTACTTTCACAAAATATTTGAGGAAATAAACATCTAAACTTAAATTATCCACCCGCAGCGAACCAAAAATGTCATCTGCTTCTGTGTTCCATCATTTTATCGTGTGTACTGCAGCGTGCAGTCAGAGGATCAACCCACTTCCGTCAGGTAGAACAAATAAAACAATTTAGTGGAATTATAACTACGGTACATAACTATTAACCTCTGTTACATTCACCCCCCAAGAATTACACAAAATTCCAGACAACATAAAAAGTGTCACGTGCAATAAAAGATCCTTATCGATTTATAATCACAAAATATAAGATCATGTTTTAACTCCACACAAAAACTCACAGAAAATTTCTTATTTTAATTTTGAAACTGGGCGAAACTCTTCAAAATTAAGGTACATTAAGTAAGTAAGAGAATATCTACTTTAACAGTTTATTTTATAAAGACAATATTCCTTAATTTAAAGAGAAAATATGTTTCACCATGTCATTTTAATAACAATTTAAAATAAAACTATTCTTTTGTGTGTGTGTGAAGATTGTGCTGAATGTACAGTATTTGAATATCCTTTATTTCATTAGATGAGTCCTTTGTTTTGGCATTATTGTAACTGTCACTGGTTGATCTTCTACAGTGATAACAAAGCCAGGGGCTCAATTGTGAGAATTCCCTTTCTGTTGAGCTCCACATTTTTAACTACAGTGTGACAAAATGTACGACAAAAGTCCCAATTTGATACAGAAGAAAGTAACTGTAAAACCTATTATGTGCGCTTAATAGGTCAACGCTTGTTTAAACTCTGTTTTAATATTAATAAAGTTTTTTATTATTATTACTGACCCTACAAACTTATCTTGAGGTACTTCATGAATATAATTGATACAATTAAACACAATAATATTTGAATATATTTAAAAAATATGTATATACTATATGAATACTACTAATGGCACAATTCCATTTTTCCATTATTCAAACGGTCACTAAACATATGTCCCGCCTAATGGTTGGATTTTTAAAGTTGTACTTCACTATTTTGTTTAGTTAATGAGATGTACTGATTATGGGAAACTTCGCTACATTATGTTGTAGTTATATCTCCCGATTTTAGAGAACAAGGACCGTTAAAGTTATCTTTCTCTAGGATGGAGAATGGGGTTACAGCCAACAAAGGAGAGGGCTTCCTCTCCAGAATGGCCCTCAATGATAACAAAGGTGGTATGGAGGGACTTGACAGGGATGAGATTAACAAGAAAATCATGGAGACGTCCAAGGTAATCTCAAATAAAAGTCCGTTTTGTATGAATGAAGGGTAGTTCAACACAAACGTAGTCAAAAACTCAGTTGTGTTAAATTTTAATAAAGACGTGTAGGAAATCATTTAATGTTGTTGATAATATGATATAGAGGAGGTCTAGTGTGACTGTATCCAGCTGAAAGTTCTGCACCCCCAGTGTTTTGATGTAATAGTTAAATAATTGGGCAACTTGATTTTTTCTTTATACCAGGGGTCAGCAACCCGCGGCTCCAGAGTCACATGTGGCTCTTTCATCCCTCTGTTGTAGCTCTGAGTATTTAATTAAAATGTATTTTTTATTTTAGTTTGTTCTTTTTTAAATATAATTCTAAATTTGAAGATTATGATAATCTTGTAACATGTTTTTTGTCGCTCAAAATATATATGCGTTACATCTGCCGATGTGCGACATCCGCCACATATCTGGCAGCGCGAATTTATCCGGCACCTACACCTACACCACCAGCGTGATTTATTGAGCTTCTCGACCGCTGGTAGGTAAATGATGGATAAATCATAGAACAGAAAAAGTTCCTGAAGAAAACAGAACGTTTAATGCTACGTGGGCAGATTCATATTGAAAACCTTCCCAAACCGGACAAACTAGTGTTTGAACCATAGAATGCCGTTCTCGACACTTACCTGAACATGAAAAGGCATGCATTTGGCGATCTTCGGATCTACATACACACTGTATGTGTGCAGGTCTTCTCCCACATGAACTATATTAAAAACAAACATCGCTCACGCCTCACAGACGTCAGCTTACAGTGAAGATGGTGACCT